CTCTGTTACTCTAGGAGAAAGCTATACATCAATTCTATGCAGTGATGGGTTCTCTGGGCCAGAGCTCATCTCAGATAGTCAAAAAACAGTGGGAATGTGTGCTGTGGTCAGATGAGTCCACATTTCAACTTGTTTCTGGGAAAAATGGAAGTCATGTTCTCAGTCCCAAAGACCAAAGTAACCATCCAGACTTTCACCAGCGACAGATGCAAAAGCAAACGTCTGTCATGGTATGGGGGTTTATCAGAGCAAACGGCATGGCTGACTGGAATATGTGTGAAAGTACCATTGACATGGAGGCATTTATTGAAATTGTACAGAGACATATACTGCCACCAAGATGACATCTTTGACATCGATGACATGACATCATAGACACAGAGTGAATGTGCTAGATCAGTCCAGATCTGTCTCCTATTGAAAATGTATGGCCAGCCATGAAAAGGAGAATCAGACAATGACGATCAGAGACTGCTGAGCACCTGAAGTCTTGTATCAAGCGAGATTGGTCAAAACTTTTGCTTGCAAAACTTTAATAATTAGTATTCTTAATACCCAAACAATTATACATTGTAATTAAAAGGAAAGCAGTGTTAAACATGCCTCTGTCCCAACTTTTTTGGAGTGTGTTGCAGCCATCAAAATCAAAATTTGTTTATATTTAATAAATAAAATTAAGTTGGCCAGTGAAAATATTGGAATATTTTTCTTTGTACTCTAGTCAATTAAATAAAGGTTAAAGAGAATGAACAAATAACATATTCTTGATTTTATGGCATTTCACAAAACGTCCCAACTTTTCTGGAATTGGGTTGTAAATTATTTTATCTATTAAAATGAACATTATATGGTACAAACGTTTAACAATTATTAACTTTATTATTTTTAAAAACATATTATTTTAACTAAAGTATTTGTATCAATACTGGAGACCCCATGCTGGTGAGCCTTTTACCCCAAGTGTGTCGCCACCTCATATACGTTTTTAAACAAAACAAACTACCTTTATGATTTATTTTCCAACAAAATGTGTTTTTTTGTTCAATATTTTTTTCTGCAATCATGCACTTAGGAGTAAAGAAAAGCACATTTTCCTTAAGTTGTGCCACGAGTGTGCTAAATGTTCAGGAAACCTGAACAAATAATGTTTTGGTGAAATAAAACACAGGATCAGAATGACTGGATGGGCCCTCCAAGCAATGCCAATGGATCCACTAAGCCAGTACCCATCAACCCAGACTCCACCTGTGGGGACAAGTGGATATGTGAGCACAGATGGCGTCAAATCAGGTAGGTGTGAGTTTTTTAGGTCTGCTGGACACATCTTTCTTTAGTCAGTGTCAAATCCCAGCAATTCTCTTGCTCTATTCCCCACCACAGGAATATGGTGATTTACCGTAATGTTGTCAATGGCCAGCCTCTTTCCAACTGGTGGGACAACGGTAATAATCAGATCGCCTTCAGCCGCGGCAGCAAAGGATTCATTGTCATCAACAATGATGATTGGTGAGAAACTTGCAACTCTAATCCATGAATAATGAACATGTTATAATGCAAATTAGCCATAACCGCTCATTAACTGGATTTGACTAATGTCCCAGGGCACTGAATGTGACGCTGAACACTGGCCTGCCCAAGGGTACATACTGTGACGTCATCTCTGGAGATAAAAGTGGGGGCAGTTGCACAGGGAAAGAGGTGTCAGTGGATGCTGATGGACGCGCCACCTTCAGCATCAGCAACACAGACGAGGATCCATTCATTGCCATTCATGCTGACTCCAAACTGTAGATTCAGTGAGGATAATATTATAATAAAGCAGAATCACTTAACTCAACAGTGTGGTTGACGAGCTTTTGTTTACAATCAGATCATGAATCATATCATGAAAAAAATAAACCACAATCAGTGTCTTACACAGAACCGTAGTCTCCTGATTCAGTGAACAAGCTAAGTTTTGCGTCTTTGTCGCCATCTCAATTTGAAACCTGCAATTGCAGTTATTTACGGAATTATCTTCTTTACGTGGGTTGTGCATTAGGATTCGGCACAGCTCCTCAGCGAGGATGAATCTAATGTTTTGAGGTGTGTGTGTGGGCTGTCAGTCAATGCACCAGTGTGAATATTCACTGTATAGCTACTTCGGAATTACAGATACTAAGTCTTGAAAGTATGTCCAAAATAAGAAGTTTCAGTGGAAAATGTGAATGTCTGAACAAGTAAGTTACATGACTGCCAATTTTGTTCTGACCAACTGCAAAAAAAAAACCCCCAAAAATTACAAATCGCGCTACCGATGGTGATGAAATCGATCGCAAAGTTAGCTCAAATCACGTCAAACTGTGCATATTATTATTGTTATACTTTCTTCTCAAATTGTTCATGTTAACAACCTCAACATTGCGTGACTACGTGTGAGTTATATTTAGTGTTTATTAGCGTTATCTGTAGATTTCAATTTCTGTAGTCACGTCATCGAAAGAAATAGTTCTTTTTTGTTCTTTTAACTTCAAACAGCAATTTAATGTTCCTTAGAACTCGTTCTCTTTGAAATACAAATATTTTGTAAGTACTCAGTACTGTGGTGGAAGTACTGTAATCAGATGCACATTTAACCTCCTGAGACCCTGCATCCTCATATGAGGACATTATATTTTAGTGAATTTCTCTGAGACTATACATGCCACAGTTTTAAGTCTGGATGTCCTGTACAGAGCACATGCAGGGCTTTTTAGAGATACTAAATGTTTGTATGTTTCACCATGATCACTCCTTGGTCTTCAAAAATGTCTGATATTAATTTAGTGACACTCTTATGGAAATATGATATTTTGTAATTATCATTTAAATCTGACTAATTTTTAAACTGTGTCATAAATCAACATCTCAGGAAAATGTTATGGGGTTTCAAATCAAAATATGACTTTCTGTTACGAAACAGGACGTTGATTAACTTGGTTTCATACTTGTCCTCATATGAGGACACCGGGTCTAAAAGCATGTTTATTACGCATTTTGGGAGACACAACAAATGAATCGGGAAAGAAAATATATTTCAATATTCCTATGAAATATTACGTTTTATTATGAAAATCTAGTCAATTATTACTCCCATTATTACACTTCTTTTTTCATTACATGATATGCAAATGTTTTTGCCTATATGCATGTTCATTCATGTCTTTTTATATTTTTTATTAAAGAAATTGAGTCCCGATGTCCTCTACCAAGGACGTAGCATAACTTATGAATGAAATATCATTTGAATTTTTTTTTTTATTTTTTTTTTACATTTTTTAATGCTCTAAACAATGTAATGACGTGAAAAAAATTAAAATACAATTTCCTAAAATGTTTTGCCGGGTCATAAGAGGTTAAAACTGGAATATAATCTAATTTCAGTCACTTAGGCTACATGTATCTCATTAACATCACGCACCGTTTAAGACTCTATTTTCAAAATGACAAGTTGAATTATTCCAACTGCTGTAAGAGGCTATGATCCGCCAGCTGCCGGGACTCCTTTATGTTTACAGACGTGACAAGCAAAGACGAACGACCAGAGCCACTCAAATTAGAAATCATTATGCTTACCGTTTTGAATCCTGATAAGGTAAGGAGATCGTTTTAAAAGTTATAGTTTTTTTTGACTGGTCATGTACTTGCTGCATAATTGATTTTGGATCATTTTTAACCAAAAAAAGTTACACAATGCAGCTTTAACAAAGTTAACAAGTCAGTGTCGCCTACTGTTGAGGTGTTCCTTCTTGACAGCAAGTGCCTAACAGGGGGTCTGTCTATATACATGTGGATGACACAACATCTGAAATAACAATGTATATGTAATGTATGCAGCGTTTTTTATTTTATTTTAATTTTGTATAATACCTTAGCCAATTGCATTGATTAGCATACTGTGTTTTAAAAGAAAATTTTTAAAGTGACATTTTACTCGTAAACATCACATCTCAGGTTTCATGATGAGTAGATCCCCAATTTTAGATATTTAATAATATTAAGTGTTTAAATATTTAGTTAAAGAAAATTTGTCAAAAAGGCTGATAATATAATTATCACGCAAGCGTAATTTGTAGCTGAAGATGGCGCGAAAATTTCGCCAGAGGTGACCATTAATCTGAGTGCTCATGAGGTGAGTAGATGTACTTTTTTACACTATATAAAATGCTTAAATGCGTTAAGAGTGGTTGTATAATCAAACACTGAACACATATAGGAATATTACAAAAGAAATGCAAAAGTTTATTGAGTAACAGAGCCAAGCAGTGAGAATCCTTCTAAGTTACGTTTTATGAACAAATCAGCTTTAGGGCTTTGACTTACTGAAACGTTATCGTAAAAGCACTATAAATAAACATAATTTATGCTCCTAATGTTTATTTAATATTAACTATTAGAGTAAACTAAGTATAATTTGACATAAAGGAGTCGAATTTGCTGCCCTGGTAAATGTTCATTTGCTACAGTATCTACATATAACCACTAGATGGCACAACAGCAAATATTGACTGCAAATTAGTAATTTCAAACTCTAAATAATTTGATAGACTAATTATTATTTTAGGATTATGATCCGGAGATTTATCTGTGAAATAGAAGTTCAATACCCAAGTTATGTACCTCAGTGAAAAATTATGAAAAACGTGTTTTATACTGTACCGTATAATGTCTTAAATTTTTTGTTGTTATAATTTTATACATAGCAATTTATGATTTTGAGAAATATTTAGCAATAGTAATTTACTATTGCTTTGACACATTTGGTTTATTTTCAGAGTATTGAAGGTTTTTTCATTATTTTCTAAAGCCCCGTGAAAGCAGACAGATGTTGTGCAGCAGCACTGAAGAGGTGACCCCGGGTTCGAGCTCTGAGCCCACATAACCTGATCGACTACAGAGTACAGACACGTAATCCATAGACAGCAGGATCCTCCGTCATCTTCTGTACTGCTCACTTCACACGGGTCTGATGATGTCCGGAAAAGTCTGTGTCCAGGATCAAGCACTGCCACTGATACTAGTGCTCAAACAGCTGTGTTCACAGACACAACACCGACTGGAGGTGACAGAGAAAATAAAAACAAAATCACATGAAGGGTACAATCTACATTAAATAAACTGAGCATGATAACTGAACCTGATCTGACAGATCTAACAACAGTTTTATCAACAGATAATACACATTTCTGTTTTTGTTTTTTTGAATTGGAGAAAATATGGTTCAGCAAATAATGCAATTTAAGCAATTTGTTAAAAACATTAAACTGTATTATATCAAAAATATTTATACAAAACAGTGGGGACCACTAATGAATTACAAGATAAAAATGTTATTTGTATAACAATTTGAGTAAAAATGTTGATGCAAAAATTCAAATTCATTTAATAAATTCTTAGTTATAAACAAATTCTTTTTCAAGGGTTTAATTTAGATTTTAAATCCCAAGTTTTTCAAAGTGGTCTCAAGCTCTTGGGTATTTAGGCCATCTGCAATTCTGCTCTCTAGATACAGTGTTACACATTAATTACCTGGACTGTGGTGGTCCACCAAAGTCTAATCTGTCCCGCCAGAGTTTAAAAATGGTAACAGTCTATTTTAAGGACCAATTCTCACTATTAACTAGTTGCTTATTAGCATGCATGTTACTAGCACGTTGGCTGTTCATTAGTACTTATTAGGCACATATTAATGCCTTATTCTGCATGTCCATATTCTAGATCACTTAACCCAACCGAATACCTAAAATTACCTACCTTACTAACAATTAATAAGCAGCAAATTAGGAGTTTTTTAACCAAAAATATTTTTACACTTCCCGTAATAACATAAAAGATCAAATTATTACAGAATTTACAGTGGTATTACAGCAGTGCATTACTCTCTTAGGGATAATAATAATAATGATAATCAATAATACTTGTATTATTTTACTTTGTACTACTATTTATTATTTTCCTTATTTATTATTAATATTTTTATTGTTTGGCTCCCTAAAAACACCAGTGTAAATGTGATGTGGACTGAGAAACTATCACAACTAAAAAGAGGTTTAAGTTCACTTTAAAGTCCAGGGACCTTGCAAATAATTTTTCAGTCAATGCATATAATTTTTTATTCTTCTTCAATTTGATTACTGAAAAACCTCCAACCCCTTTTCAGTAACCAAATCGAACAGAATAAAACTCATTTGTATTGACTGAAAAATTATTTTGTAATTTTGCTCTCAAAACCAGATTGATACATTTAACTTTTAAAATGTTCAAAATTTTCCTACGGAGGACATGTCCCCGGACCCCCCTGTAGATACGTAGGTCCACCCCCAGAAACTCACAAAATCCTGTAGTAAACACTAGATTTTTTTTAGCACTTTTTCCTTAGCTCAGCGCCAGCTGAATATCAGTGGAGGAGCAGACAGGATCAGCTCTTCTGTGGGTTCATCTGTCCTCTCCTGGAGCTCCAGCACTCCACATCTAAGGGCCACACCTGCACTCTCACACCATGGCCGAACCCCTCAAGAGAGACCTCAACAGTATGCAACTAACTAAACTTCTTTCTGGATAGATATCTGCAGTCCTGCTTAAATCTTAAATCAAAACTAATAACTCACTGTACAACTGTTTTAAAATAATGACAACATCATCTGCATCTGCGTCACATGCGGCCTCTGTGATAGTGGCTGCGGTGGAGGGACGTGGTTTAGCTCAGGGGGGAGATTGGCATGGCCAGTGTCAATGTGAAATGCCCAGAGCTGGTGCTTTCACAGTTTGCAGACACTGGAACTTATGTTAAGGTAAAGATCCATCTATTCTTCAAACCGCTTGTCTTTTGTAGGATAAAGGGTATGGTAAAGATGAAACCAGTTTTTAATTGCAAAAACAACACACATGTTTGAAAGTAATATTTAATTGAGTGATCAGAAAAAAAAAAAAATTTAAACAGCAAAAACAGTGCTAATATATATATATTTACTGTACTAAACATTAGTGTAAGAGACTTTAGTTTACACTAAAAATGTAACTCCTAGCTTAGCTTATTTTAATTAAAAACATTTACAGGGGAAATACAAAGTTTATAGATGCTTTGATAATTGATCATACAAAAAAGTAAGTAAATAAAAACATGATAACCCCAAAACTCTCAGTAGTGGCTGTATCCATATCAATTCCACTGTCACACAATGTTTCTTCTAGAACTCTTAATCTATTTAAGCAATTCCCCATAACATATAAATAGTATGTTTGAAATATTTTAAAATTAAGTTTACTCCCTAACAAATCTGAATTGATGGGTAAAAAATCAATACGAATGCTTTGCTTTGGGCAGTTCTCCAGAACAGAGCCCTCCACACAGTGCACCATGCCAGAAAAAAAAGATTTTAAAATGACTGCCAGAATGTAGTGTAACCAAGAAAATAGATTTGTATTGGTTTTATGTAAAGTCATTGCTTGAAGATAATGTGTTTTTACCCAGAGACAATATTGTGCAGTAGAGGACTACATTCTTTGTAAAACACATTCAAAATTATGCTGAATTTTGATGCTGCTAGTGTGAAAGGACAAGGAACTGAACTCTACACACTTATCACAGAGACTTTCCCGGTATCATACATGTTTACTGCATCTATCCTGGCTATAAATCAGGGCTGGGTGACTTACAACATACAGGCTGTAAATTAAAATTATTGTTAGAGATTGTGCACACAACTTGATCTGATTTAATTCAGAATTACAGCTGCTTCTTTCCACTGAGTGCAGAATATTTCCTTTTGCTATGTGTGCAGTCAGTCACATTCACTGCCATTCTGAGGAAGTACTTCAATGAGAAGAAGGGCATTATCTCAGAGGTCATTGTGTCAGTGTGAATTATTTGCCTGTCTCAGTTCCGTTTCAGATGAGTGATATGAATGTTTGTTTATAAATACAATAATTAAACCTATATGTAAGACATATATGATAAATGTGATTAAACAATATCAAATGAAACGTTCTCTGTCTGTAGATACTATTGCCTGGTTTCTGCATCTGCCCTACTAAAGTACTTTGAGTTTGTTCAGAACTCAATATATGCTCCTAAGTCGCTGAAAGTGATCTTCACCGGCAGTGAGCAGACAGCCATGATTGATGCAATATCAGCCAGCAACTTGGAGCTAGTGGTAAACCACAGAGATCACAGGTTAGAGGACAGGACTTTTTTACAGTTTTACGTTAACCTCCACGTATTTATATTACAGAATTCAACTGAAAGCTCCACAGAGAATTTGAACATCTGTCATCCACAAAGATCTACACATCCCCTACCCCAAGCTCAGCCCTGTTTCACAGACTTTATCGTATTTAAGTACTTACCAAAGAATGTAAAAAAAGCACACAGATTTGAATTGGGTGTTAAAGTGACAGTTCCTTTTTTTTGCCCATAAAGCTGTGCCTAAATTTTGTAATTATAAACTATGTTGACTATACTCATAATTTACATGTATCTGAATGTCAGCAACCATATGCTGTTGTAAACAGAAGTGAGCACACTCTGTTTGGGGTCTTAAACTACACTACGACTGCTGGTGGGGAGCGGCGGTTACGCTCCAATATTCTTGAACCTCTGCTGGATGTGTTCACTATCAACTCACGCCTGGACACCATACAGGTGATTACCTGTTATCTGTCTGCCTTTTTTCATTGTGTTGTTCTGTCATTAATTAAATAATCTTCTCTTTGATCTGTTTCCAGGAGCTGCTGCAAAATGAGGAGCTCTTCTTTGGTCTAAAGAATAGTAATATATATGAGACATACATATGACTCCGTTTTAGAGACATTGTTTCAGGGTGTTTTTCTCCTCGTTTCATCCTTTTGTTGGAGGCTCTTTTGAGGCTGTTGTTTGGCATGATTATACATTTATTAGATCTGTACTGCACCACATGCATAAGCAGCATGTAAGTAGTTGTGATTTCAAGAAAAAGTTGTGATTTCACATTTGACTGTGTTTCTACTGCGTAACAGATATAGTAAAAAGTTATTTTTAGGTTACGGTATTGAGAATTTGCTTTCATAACAGCCATGGTTACCAGGAGTTGTAGGCCACTCAGAATAATTGCAAATTTGATCATTGTGAAATATAATTTACATGAGGAATGCCACATTTACATTCAGGTATTAGCCTAATTACAGCAGAAACATTCAGTCAATTGCAACAATTCAGGCACACCTGCCTCCTGGAACTGCACCCACAATCATTAACCAGATGCCTAAATGTTTGGCTGGCACCACACCATGGCAGGACTTTACTGATGTTGTTTTAATTTTATTCACAGCAATTGCACACTTCCTGGATATAGATGATCTGCTGTCTGCTCATGCTCAGGTCCCAAAGCAAGAGATGGTAGGCATAGGAAACACATTTATCAAAATATTGACTTAAAAGTTGTTGCTTTCTTATGAGAGTGATGGGTGGGTAATTGATTTCACACAATGTTCACTAACTTTCAGTTTAATTTAATTTAGAATATCATTGGGGAGAAATACTTTTTTTTTTTACAGCAATTGCACACTTCCTGGATATAGATGATCTGCTGTCTGCTCATGCTCAGGTCCCAAAGCAAGAGATGGTAGGCATAGGAAACACATTTATCAAAATATTGACTTAAAAGTTGTTGCTTTCTTATGAGAGTGATGGGTGGGTAATTGATTTCACACAATGTTCACTAACTTTCAGTTTAATTTAATTTAATTTAGAATATCATTGGGGAGAAATACTTTTTTTTTTTCCACAGAAGGTCTAGTTAAGTAACAGGCAAAATCCTTTAGCAAGACAGCTATTTGGCTTTTAAATTCAAGATTTTCATCTTCAAAAAGACTTTTTAAGTCATCATTGTTAGAATTAGTTTAGCAGATTAGTAGTTTAGCAGTTACTCTGTTTAATTAGCAAAGATCATCTTTTTAATGGTTTAACCTTGTAGGTACCAGTGGCTGAAGCAAAAATAATGCAAATAATTCAGCTGAAGCACATTCTGGAACTCGTCCCATCGATGAAGGTTGTGTCTATGCATTTTTTTAAAAATACTGTCAAACAGTACTGAAAGTCACAAAGTCATTGCCAGGCCTGTACTGAATATGTCTGGAAAGCTCAGCAGATTTCCACAAAATTACAGTACTCATATTTTGACAATTTTTTTATGTTTTCAGCTATCAATAAAAGCAGTAGTCTTTTCACCTCAGTGTGAAGTCAACATCAAAACAATTTACCTTATTTACGTCCATTTTTAGAATTTTGGTTCCATTTTACTTATTTTGTGTAAGTAAGGAAAATCATGAAATACCTGCAATTATGTAACTATATCTATATGTCATGATTGTATACTGAGTGTATTTTCTGACTTGGTTGAGAAAGCCTGTAAACTTGCTCAGTTGCATGTATAATTATGCCACATATAAGTAAATTTCTCCCTGATTAGGTGATGCGGTCACATTCCAAAACAGCCTTGTTGGAAGCATATTATACCTCACTTGAAGACAGCAGGTAATAACTTTTAGAGACTCAGCTCTGTGAACTATATTTGCATATATGCTAACATCTTGCACTGACCATCTTTGTTAAACATGAAACATGAACCTGTTCTTTCATAAGAGGAGATAATGTGTTGTGTATACATTAGTAACACAGAGGAGGCTCTATGAGCCCCACATATGTGGTGAGAATGAGATTAGTCGGCACTTTCATATATGCATTTGAATGTTTAGTTAGAGTTCTGGTATTACTATTTATCTTTAATGTTTCCTCATTTGTGTTGGTTTAGGTTATAACTGTCCCAGCTATTCAAAACTGGGATTGCTATACCAAAAAAAAGGGGGATTAGTATCTTTGCAAAGGGTCTAATTGGTTATTGGGTGTAAGTTCTACAGTAAATGCAAAAAGGCCCAAAACAGTCTAAATTCCTTTTCCATTATGTGTATTAAACCATTTTCACTCCATAGTTACAAGCAACAATTTATAAAGCACCAACAAACAACCTCACCCAGGGCTGACAAAAAGAGATAATACAAAATGAACCTTGTGACAGGCTATGACTGTTACAAGGTTCAACAGCATTCTGGATCAGATTAAATCACTGATTAATGATGACACCAGTTACATGAAAGGCAGTTTGTCCATGCGCACACAGAAGTGCTATACTGTGCGGCCCAACATCAGCGAATTCTTAGATATTGCATGACGAGCCTACACAGAAGTGACCAGACAGAAGAACAACTATGGGTTCACCATGTAGACCTTATGAAAATGAATGACCACTGTGAGCAGGCTTTGAAAGACATTTTCCACATGTCTTAAGTGAGTGTACAGCAGATCAGATAAAGTTTAACTTTGAGTGAAAAAATGCAGCATTTAACCATAGATGGTATTTATGTACACTGCAGGGTGGTGTCCAGGTTACTGAGTGAGATCTATGAACACATCCACTGCCTGTACAAACTGTCTGATGCTGTGTCAATGCTGGACATGTTGCTCTCTTTGGCTCACGCTTGC